AAGCTACTATCAGACAAACTACGCTAGGTGTTGCATACAACAAAGCACGCACCGCAGATACCTACCTGCATGTACACTAAAAGCCAATAAACATTTGCAAAGCTGTATGCACCTACATACATATGCACGTGTATAACAACAAAAAGTCATGGTCAATAAACGTTGTTGTTTTTTGTTGCATGCCATCCATGTACGTACTCTGCAACAATGCGCTATACAAACATTGCTTGTTCTCATGTATCCGTGCAATAGTTATCGCGCATTATCAATGCATTTGCTTATTTATGAATGTATGTACATTTGTATACACACATGTATATGTTATGTATGTATTACCCTGTAGTGAAAGTTCTACGCCCTGAAAAAGTTTATATCCCATTGGTTTTGCAGCTCAACTGGTTCGCCTTCTATCTTATTTATAACATAAATATTAGCGTTCTACCAATGTCTGTCTAAATAAATATAACTAGCTAACAAATAAACTTATAACTTTGGTTGCGATGCTACAGTGGAACGTACCAGAGACAGAGCGAGAAGTTGTGAAAAGCGGAAACCTGTAATAGCGTAGAAGATGTGGATATGATTCCATATCATAAAAATTTCCATGTAGTTGCTGCAGTATGGGCCTGAGGGAATGTTGAACTCCTAGCTATAACGAGTGATGTGATTTGTTCAGCCTCTAGCCACCTGGTAGTCAATGGATCCCCTTATCCTGTACTTACACGGCGAAAATTCCTCAAAAGTGACCATGCTTGCTAGCTCAATATCATGTAGTTAGCTGCGATATCGTTGTAGCCTGAAACCGAAATACATAGGCGTTTTCGAACGAATTACCAGAGGATAAGGTCACCGTTTGCCAACTTGTTATCAGAATATGGATGCCGGTTTCGGCGGCCGCCATGGTCGAGTGCTTAGAGATGTGTACTACTACTGGGTTCGATCCCTGGTCCCAGCAAGATCCGCCGCTCCTTTCGGAAGGCAATGACAAACCTGCGAGGGTATTTCTGTCATTAAAAATCCAGAAGCTGGGCCAAGAAAAAGTGTAAGTACCAAATTTTTTTCCTCTTTAAAAGGTATTACATTTTTAATACACACGGCACATCGAAGACAGTTGTTACCAGCCACGATGTCATCAGCTTCTGCTTCTGCTCATACCCGTTAACTAACTAGTCAGGCCTTGCACTGTATTATACCAGTTATTAAACTAGAAGTATCATTGAATAGTTTTCTTTTTTCTGCAGGGTACATATATTTGATTATATATATATGCATGTATAGTTACATTAGTAGGCGTGTGAATGCATACATATGTACATATGTATCTGTATGTTCGCATGTTGCGTGTAGTGTTGCAATAGCGACGCGTTAAAATTCAATGAATCGAAATTATGTGCGTCCACATACATAGGACCACCGAACTCCACCGAAGTAGTGCGCGTCTGCCAGAAGGATACACTCAGAAATGGAGTCACTTTGGTTGCAGTGTTGTTATTCAAGTAGCATACTCACGCTGTGCCAGTGTTTTTCCACGTTTCCTATTTCGCATTTGTACGCTCTTAAAAGTGCTAACGTGAGCGTGTGCATTTATGTGTGTTTGCCTGTGTGTGTTGGCGTGGCTTTTTGTATGTGTGACATCATCACCGGTAATTACTGCCACGTGACAATGAAAATTACTCGCTGTTCGCATTGCTGTAGGATTGTTCACTGTACTATGTATGTTCGAACAGTTTACTTTTGTTTCGAGTTGATGTTGATGTCGTAGTGCCACATGCTAGTTGCATCAGCCAACTTTGGGCCGAAATTTAAAATTGTGGGATACTGTTTAAAAACAGTTTTTAGGTTGGAGCATTTAACTTCAATTCAACTTCAGAAGCACCTAAAGAAATTGGCGAAAATGACATACATACATAGACTGATGGCCATATAAATTCTCTCACAGAAAATTTTTAAACGACCCACTTATACCTGACCCACTTTTTCCAATTTTAGTATATTATCAAGATAAAACTTATGTTAAAATATATCGTAACCAGAACTTAATTTATAGAAACAAAAGTACTGTGAGTTTAAAAAGCGCCAAACACTGCGCGCCATATTTGAATGAGTCTCGAAAAAAATCTGGATTTCCTTAGAGGATATTAACCACGTGATAAAAACCTAAGCCCCGCCCCTCACTGTGACCAAGCGTGGTATATGTGTATGTACATATGTATAATTCTTCTGCATATGTGTTTGTAAGTGCGCCCTTATTAAATGACTGGAGCTATTTTAACGAGATATTTTGTGTGTGTTTGAGTGTGTCTCTGAACAGTTTAGGTTCACAATTTGACCTGCCGCGCCACCTCCACAAGGAAATCAAAAATTCATCCATTCAAGCCACTGTCATAAAACGGGAAAGAACTCACTTCCTAAATCGAGGTGAAATTCTTTGGAGTTATTCTAGACATGAAACTCCACTCGAACACCGCTTCAGCAAAGCAGTTACCACCCTAAATACCTGAAATACGACTATAGCAATCCATTTTAAATGTACCAAAGATGGATCTCTATGATACGATCCGGCCGACTTTGGTGCCGCCAGGCTGAATGCGATTCAGCCATGGAGAGACTTCAGAATGGGACAAGAAAATGTCATGGAAACTTTGTCGCACAATCTGCGAAAGCTAGATTATACTACTACTCCTCCCCTAAGATAACGAGTTATCCATAAGAATACCAAAAAGGAATAAATCGGAAGGTGACACATATCTGGAGCCAGGGAGTCCTCTTGTCTGAAACTTCGTTTGGTATTATACGGCTTGGATTGGTGTTTCCGACGGAGCTGATGGTATTGCTTAAAGTTATTTTACACAGCCGTACTAGTTTCACGGGGATACCAAAGTCAGAAACCGCGGCATGTACACAACTTCTTTTCGTGCTGTGGAGAGTGGCTTTGAAATCGACAAATATATGGTGTATGTATGTCTATTCTAAGTGGCATACTGTGAATACCTGCTTTACGGTGGATTTACTAGGTCTAAATCAATACTGATAAGGCCAAATCAGTTCGTTAGGATCTGCTTTCTTGTGGATTCGGCAAAGCACACTTAAATTCCAGTTATCATAGCATAAGAGTTGATCCATGTGCTTGAATAGATAAGCTGGCAGGCGGTCAGGCGATGGGACATCGACTTCAACATCATCGACTGACTGGAGGCTCGGATTTTTCTTTCCTACTACTTTAAATGCAGCCAAAACTGTATGTTGTTGACATCCGTCACTAGGTCGCCATGATTATTCTTACATGAGTTTGCCCTGGTCTTTAAACCTACAAATATGTCTCACCTCTCTCTTCAGTTCCATATAACCGTTCCACATATCTCGCATTGCGCCCGATCGCAGTGCGGATCAGTAGGCGGCATCTTTTTTTTCTACAGTCTCGTGACATTAATCCTCGTACCAGTTGTTCTTTCAGGCTCTTTCAGGTCCAACTGCTTCTTCGGCGGCGGTACGCAATGGGCGGGAAATGTGGTTCCACTTCTCGTAGGTGTCGATTTGTTGAAGAGAACTCTCTGAGAGCAGGTGTGGAAGTCGAGTGGCGCTTGCATTGGCCGTCTGTTAAGATTGTAGTTTTGCGACGTTAAGCTTTTCTTGCATTGTTGGACTCACACGTTTTGCTGAACAGAGGCGGACGCTTATTTAGGCTGCAACAAGAAAGTAGTCCGAGTTGATATTTGACCCTCGGAGTATACGTACGTCTAAAACACTGGCAGCGTGCCTTCACAACATGATCGATTTGGGTTATCGTTTTTCGATCTGGAGTTAGCCAAGTAGCTTGAAGGTTTTTTTATGCACGAACCTAGCACTAGCATATTTCGGAGCCTAGCGAAGTTGATAAGCCTCAGTCCGTTATCAGACGGTTCGTCGTGGAGGCAGAATTTTCCGACAGTGACGCCAAAGATCCCTCCTTACTCACTTTGGAATTGAAATCCTTATGCACGATTTTAATATCGTGGCGCTCATAAAAGAGATCTTCCTTCTCTTCCGTCGGGGCCAGGCGAAAACGATCGAGATAGTGAAGAACTTTACTTTAATGCGGATTGTAGCTAGACACTTTTTACGAACGACAGTACTCGGCGACGGAGTCTCTCTACCACCACAAAACCAACACCGAATTTTCACTCCTTTAGATGGCAGCTGTAGTAGACGTCGCAAGATCCCAGAAATGTTTTGCCTTGCTCCGTCCAAGAAGCCCCAGAAAAGGCATCATATAGACTTACCTGTGAATTCTATAATTTTTATTTCCAGCTTGAAATTAAATATAGAAAGCTGTATTTACTCTCAAAAAAATCTTGATCCGTTAAATTGCATTAACCATATTTTGGTATAATTTCTTTTGAACTTTACTCAGCATATTTTCTCAAGTCGTTTAAAGAAGACTGCACTTTAACCGCACTTTTTCAATTTGCAAAACCACTTGATGTCCTTTGCATAGCCTAAACAGCTGAGAAAAGGGAAAATATATGCAACCTGCATGTATGTATGTATAAATCTTCATAAATATTCAAATGAAATTTTCATTTAAAACTTTGAACCAGAAGGAAAAAGAAGTTGACGGGCACCAAATGGTTTAGATTGAGTACAAATAGCAGATGGCGCAGAGGATGATACGATAACTGCTGGTTGCTATGTTTGTGACAATGCAAGTGGCCATAGAATAACGGCAAAGACTAAAACAATTGAAAGATGGTCACATAAATGGCACAAACAGAAGTAAACGGAAATGAAGCGAATTGAAGTACATGCATAGCGGAAAAGGCATAGTAAACTTCAAAGCAAAAATGCAACGTCAAGGCAATGCAATGCGCTCGCTTGTCACTCGAAGGAGTGGTGGTGAGCCGAGAAGGGTTTATTCAAGAACACATATGCTGCATGTTGAGCTACGAGCACTACCGCATAGTCCACTCTTCGAAGCTTCCGAAGCGAAGAAGAAAGTATTAAAATGAATAAATAAAAGCGAATTCAAAGTCCCTTTGCTAAGGACACTTCGCAGGCGCTGAGCTCGTAAATAAATCAATGGACGATTTTTATTATGCCCAAGCTGGAGGCTTGATAGTGGTTAGTGTTGACTGTAAGGAATTGCATCGTCAGCAGTGTAGTGAATAACGATGACTACTTACTATTCTATATTCTATATATGGAAGTAGTGCAGCAGCTTGCTTTCGCAGCTCATCTTGAGCGGCAGTGCATCACGTCAATTGCATTTGTGCACTGTTGTGACGTTGTGTGATTATGTGCCAGAGACAATCTAAATAAATTTACAAGTCTATAAATTTTTAAAGGCCATAAGCACATATATGTATATGTATGTATGTATGTAAATATGTACACAACTATGTGAACAAGAATTCATTTGCACGTTATGTATGTACATTAGGGTGGTCCTTAAATGTATTAAGTACATTATTACATCAGATTTCCTAAACGTCAACCCCCACATCGATGATAATATAGTCAAAGATATCACACAAAAATTTTGGTCCCGATCGGAGACGGTTTAGGCATGTCGCAGAGGGGTCAAAGTTCAGATTCCTCTATGGAGACTCAAAAAATTAAAATTAATATTTTTTTCATCTAATACCCAAAATCGATACTACTAACGTCGAAGATGTCACATATAAATTTTGGTCCCGATTTGAGTAGGGTAAGATGAAAAAGAAATTAATTTAAATTTTTGAGTCTCCATAGGGAAATCTGAACTTTGACCCCTGTGCAACACGCCTTAACCGACTCCAGTCAGGAGTACAGTAGTATCGATTTTGGGTATTAGATGAAAAAAAAATTAATTTAAATTTTTAGAGTCTCCATAGAGGAATCTAAACTTTGACCCCTGTGCGACATGCCTTAACCGTCTCCAATCGGGACTAAAATTTATATGTGATATCTTTGACCGTTGTATTAGCGATTGAGGGCGTGAGACTTAAAATTTCATTTTAAGGGACACCCTAATGTACATACATACATATGTATGAGTATACATATAGGTTTTTTCTTTGCGAGTTTTTACATTCATTTAAAAAACGGAAATTTCATAACTTCCTTTTGGGACATGATAAACGTTACGCCGACGCATCTCATTTGGGGATTTGTTTATTAAGTGGCTTTTAAAAACATATTCTAGTTTTTTTGTCAAAGTATTTTTTATTGAATTTGTAATTATTCAATTTTATATTCCATGCCGGCAACTAGTCAAAATTGCACACAAATTTATGTCTATTAACATACATATTTACATATAAATGTATGTGGCATTCTAGAATTTTTCACATATGGAGATATATCAGTTTACTTCTTGCAACAGTCATCCTTGGCGCCGGTCTTGCACTTGCATTTACATTGCTGGTCACAGGGGCATCCGTCACCACATTTGTTAGCGGAACATTTGCAATCTGAAGATAAAAGAAAATAGGAAATTGATAAAAGTGAACAAATGGCATTTTCAATAATAATAAAGTGTTTTATTCTGAGTTTTTTTTTTAATTAAAAGTTTCTTGATATCCTTGAGTTGGTTCGAAGAAGATTAAGATACGTATGGATGTAAGTTTCAGATAGATATAGTCAGGGTACTCACAAGATGTTTAACACATTATAAAACATTGCATATTAGGCATAACATATGCACTTTTAAAGGGTTGCTAACAACTTGTATAATTTTTGAAGATTTTTCTTTCGAACTTATAATTTTATGAGGCCATGTGAATCCCCTAGTACACTTGCAAATTAAGATGGCATTTGGCAGTAGATACAACATCCAGAAAGTGAGATTTTTCTCATATGTTTTTAATATACATACATATACAGTGACTCACACAAGTGTTCACGTGTTGATTTTTTTTTTTAATATTCACAACGATTTCCAAGTTAACTTTTTTTTGTTATTTTTCTGTAAAAATATTGTCGAAGCTTTACCCAAAGTTCTATAAATCAGAACTTAGGAATATTCAACAAATTTTCATCAAAATTTCGAGCTTTTTTAATCTGAATCTTTACAACATTTTTGTGTATGCAGTTTTAACTACTAACGCAAGATCAACTTTTTTACCAAAGAAAACAAGATATTGTCTAGCGGTTTCGGCCTTTAGACCTGGAAAATCCACCAAAGACCATGTATTCACCATAAGCCAAATCTTGGAAAAATCCCTCGAGAAAATGTTTTGGCTTCGATAGCACGAAAAGGAGTTGCCCTTACGACGCGATGTTTGAATTTAATATCCTGTGAACCCAAAATGGCTGTGTAAAATAAACCAGAGCTACGTCACTAGCTTCGTCAGTATTGAGAAGTTCTTTGGTAATAACAGCTTCAGAACTTCCTCACTCGGAGACAATTTTCTGTTAGAGCGTAAAATTGGTGGCGTATGCCGGTACCATCTCTTGCCACCAGGTCCTCTCTCGTCTTCCAAAACCACATTCTATAAGTATTTCACCGTTGCTCTGTTTCATTTTACAGAGAAGCATGAACCCGATGGAACGGCCCTTCACGTGCGATTCTGCAAAGATATAGGCACGTGCCTTCGCGCGTTTGCGGCGGCAAATATCGCAGAATGTGGAACTATGAGCTTACAACGAGATGCACAGAAACGATCCAACCCTGGAAGTATTCAACTCGGAACCCGATGGTGGTAGCAGCGGAAGAAGGAGGCCCACTCTCAGATGGCTAGGTAGATAAGCACAATTTTGTACGGCTCCCAAAAATGCGTTGGGCAAAACACTTTCAGTGTTACGAGTATTTTTACAATGATATCAACGCAAAATTAGCCAAACCGAAAATAAAATTAGTTAATTTTTTTTTATTAAATACACATTTATATCTGCTCTCTCGTAACTCAGATTTAAATCCGTTTTAATGCACGACACTTATATTTACAATTTTCCTAGCTTACCTTTACAACACGCTGGACAACCCATTTTAACGTTGAATATTTATGTAAAATGTACTTCTTTCCTCCAAGAAAGATTTCACGAAACTACGTCTACAATTCCCTTTGTGAAACTACTTATTACTCAGTGAGACTGGCAGAAGCCTTTATATATATGTACATACCTATAAGCATTAAGCGGTATCACGACATATGAAAGAAAAAAAGTTTATCGTTTGTCAGTTTTATTTAAACACTTGATTTTGCTTTTAACTGCAGTGGGAGAAATGATTAAGTACATGCTCATTAAGGCGTATCACGAAAAAGTTTAGTATGTGAGTTTTATTTGAATACTTATGTATGTCGAGAAAAAATGTTGGGTGTAAAATTTTTTTAGGCACCCGTTACAAACCGCAAAATTGCATTTTTTACTATAACTTTCTTATTTTATATCCTATATTTAAAATCTTAATGTCACCGAAAAGGGCCCAATCAGGACTATAATTTGCCATTAATCAATTTCGGTTTTAAAAACCGTTTGAATTTATAAATTTACTAATTAAAAATAAAAATCTATGTATGGTATTAGCAAAATGAGTGAACGTATAAATCAAAACGGGGTTTTCAACAAATTATAGTCCTGAGCGAGACCTTTTCGAGACCATTTTAAAAATCGGATATCAAATAAGAAGGTTATAGCCAAAAACGCGATTTAGCAAATAAAACTGACACGCTAAACTTTTTTCGTGATACGCCTTAATGATCATGCACTTAATTATTTCTCCCACTGCAGTTAAAAGCAAAATCATATGCACATATATATGCATATATGTGTGAACACTAGGGTGGTAAAAAAGTAAAGTCGGAATTTTAATTTACTCACCATCTAGGATTATCCTATATCGAATAAAAGTATTCCCCTGTTTTTTATTTCAAATCAGAAAATATTTAGGTGCCGCTCAAACTAGTCCAGGTATTTTATAGTAACTGAAAAAAATATTTTCTTAGAAATGATATTGCGTTCTTGAAAGTCAATATTTTTCGATCGGAAAACTCTGTTTCTCTTCCCGAGACTTCCAACAATAATACATAATTGTCTATTTTACCATTTTTTGACACTAACGATTTTTATGGGTCCACAATTCTATTTTTTGGGGGACCTATAATAATAGTAACTATTGAAAAATAGTTACATATATAGTCTTTCCATCGGAAAATACGAACATGTGTTTTTCCCATATGAAATACATGGAAAACTTTGAGCGACCTCTAAAAACAACAGGGGCATATTTTTTATCGCTAAAGAACAATCTAGGGACTGAGAGCATTAAATTGCGACTTTACTTTACTTTGTGCCACCCTAATGAGCATACACACACAGTACACATTGTACATGTAAATACTTATCTCAATCAATAATTGCATATCGGTGCAGTGTGCA